CACATTGAAAGTTAAAATGAATATTAGCTACAATAATTACATGGATAAAAGGTAAATGCCAATTTGATAGAATTTGGAATCTGTGCAAGTCAAAACAATACTCTAATTAAATTTCAAGTCTAGATCTAAAAATGCAATTCTATAAAGCGCCCAGCGGAGCGGGCGAGTAACAGCTAGTAGAGAATAAATTAAATATAAATGCATCTGTTGATATAATTCATTAATAATAAAATAAATTTGATCGGCTTTAATTGCAAAAAAATTGGGCAATAATGAGATGATTGGGTCGAAGTTCGAAGATCGAATTTGAGCAGTTACTTGAACTTAGAGTTAAATTTCGTTTTAACGTGAGCACAGATCAAACATTGAAAACTCAAATATAACAATTAAGTTCAATGAGCTTATATAAGTTCAGTATAGGCGTCGACGGAAAGAGCTCAATGGAGATATGTTAACTCGAGATGAACTCAACAAGCTACGAAACAAGTTGAAAAATCGAAAATTCTGATTTAGTTCAAAAAAACGGATCTGAAATTACGATGAACTCAAAAGAAAGATTTCTTTTATTTTTTAAATTCAATTTTGTTATTGATTTTATAAATCCATAAATTTATAAAGTTATATATTTACACGTTTGTTGGTGGGAACTTTGAAATTAATATAGTTAAAGATGTAAACTTCTAAAAACACGTTAACTCATATTCGTAAGATTTGAATAGTTCAACCATTCGAACAGTTCGAATTGTTTAAGCCACTCACTCACTGGAAAATAAGTTTTCTACTCTGTACAATACGATATTGCCACTGTCATGATCCACACATTGCTATCTAGAGGAGAGTGAGGTTAGAAAAACTGTATATTAACGGTAGTAATAGTATCGTGAATGGCACTCGAATAGATCGTGACGGTCGCTATATCCAGACTGCTGCTCGTAGCTGTACGGATTGTACCCATAACGATACACACGTTACTATACAGTACACGGAAAAAAATTTCTGGGAAAATTTACGATACAACTATTATAAAGCTGGACTATACTTTCATTACTATTTATTTTCAAATATTTTAGAATAAAATTTACTATTTATTCACGAAATTTTACAACTTACTATTGTAATTTTACCAAATAATTATTGTATTAAATTCGATTAGAAAAAAATACGATATATTACTATTGTAAAAAGTAAGAGATTAAAATTTCCACTGCTGCCTCTATATCTTTCCAATAGAAGTATAAAAAATTTTACAATAGTTGAATTGGAATGTTTTTTAATTATGTGAGTGATGGCCGTGCACAGCGCTAGACTTCGAGTTTATGTAAATGCTAAAGGACACCAATAGTAGTTTACCTCGGATAGCGTAGAGGGAGAGTCTCTGGCTACCAACTAGCGAGTTCTGGGTTCGATTCCCGGATAAGACGAAAATTCCCAATTTTTTTTTCGGTTACTGCCAATTTTCCAATTAGTACAACCTCATATTTCTCTCCCTCCCTAAAATTTCTTTTAAAAAAACTGACTGTCAAATTATACAATAGTTGAATTGTAAAGTTCACTAACACATCTTGTATAATTTGCTCTATAGTATTCGACTTTTTAAGTCTCTTGCTAGCTAGATCCCGCATGGAAAAATATATATGCGAAAAATATATGCAAATATATATTTTCACATATATTTTTTTTTGCGCTAAATATATGTCCGCATATATGTTCACATATATGCGTAGATATATGTTCACATATATGCGTGCATATATGTTCATATATATGTGCGCATATAAGTGTCTAGAGATACACAGAAAAAAATTTAACTTGAATTAAGAAAATAATTTTGAAAAATTTAACTTTCTTGATTTGAGTAAAAAAATTCTCAAACTTAGAAATTTTTTTTTCAGTGTATGCTTACATATATGTCTACATATATGTAAGCATGTATCTCTGCATATATGTCAGCATCTATGTGAAAAATATATGTTGACATATTTTTTTTTTTGCGTAAATATATGCGGCATATATATTATACATGCGACATATATTTTTGACATATATATTTCTCCATGCGGGCGAGTCTTGTTTGTTGGATAAAATTTACAATAGTAGATCGTAAAAATTAATAAATGTGAAGTATAGTCCACCGTTACTATTTTATTCAATAAAAATTACGATGGTAAAGTAGTAAAAATTCCTTCAATTTTCTTTCCGTGTAGATGGTGCCGAGCAGAAAAATTTTTTTTTATTGCTATTTAACTCAAATATCGGATTGAGTTTCACTATACGATTTAAATAAGATTCACTCATCTCTGGTCCAATCTATGCAGTCAATATGATTTTCGTATTTCGTCAAAGCTTTCCTGAAGTCGAATAGAAGTAATATGATCAAACGATAATATGTAGCTTAACAAGTATTTATTCATAAATATCTCCATTGAATCATTTGAGAAGAATTTTTTCTATTAGATAAGCTACCTGTTGATAAAATAAAATACTATTTTATAAGTTTTAAAAATTTTAACTAAGTAATACAAGTTGGAAATTCGTTTCAATATAGTAAGTTCCTTAATTGAAAAATGTATGATATTCTGAACAGAAGTTTAGATCAGTATGATGATCAAACTTAATTATTCAAGATTCTAAATAAGAAATAAGCATGTTGATCTCGTATCGTTTAAGAGGTACAACACTTCGAGTTGGATTAAGCTACAGCTGCTGTTGACACTGGAATAACAAACACGATTCACGAACCAACTGGCTCTTGACATACAAACCCTGGGATATAGTGAACTCAAAGTGTGAAATTTAAGTCGTTCACAAGAGAGCTTAACTGACTATTGCAGGTGATACAGTATTACTATGTTGATCGCTTTGGTATTCATCACGAATTTTGGCTTGTAGAATATTCACATATTCCGCTTAGTCAATGTACATAAGCTAACGTGCCTACTAATTACATCTAAACACTTAGAAAATAAAAACAACGTTAATCAAGTAGTAACTTTTTTATGGTTCAGTTTTAAGATAAAAAAATTAGAGAAATGTTTTTATCGGAAAGATAAAATCGAAGAAAGTTTGAAAATCTAAAATCGTATGATGCTATCTTAGTACTATATTAATAAATATTTGTTAACTATAAATAAATTTTTAACAATTTTATAATTATTATTATTGAGTCACATGGTACATGGTATATTACACTACAAGGGCCATAACTTGAATTTCTACTTCGACTTCGTCTCGGGCATGCGCATCAGGTTGCGTAAAACAGAGCTTTAAAACTTCTGCTTGTGTAGATAGTAGAAAGGTTAGCTTCACTCAAGTCGAAAATTCTTCATCCACGACTACTAGAAGAAAAATAATATATTTTTTGGGACAAGAGAAGAAATTCTTGAGCCAAGAAATTTTTTTTTTAAACCGAGAATTTTATCTTAGCTCTTAAACCAAGAATTTTTTCTTTTGACTCAAGAAATTTATTGCTTTCCTTATTATAAAATCTTTTCTTTCGAGTCAAACTAACCTTTCTATCAGTGTTCTATCTTTTTCATAACCGGTCGAAAATACGTTAATTAATTAAATTTTTATCAGCAATAAAACAAAGTTCCACCACTCTTTAAGCATGAATTAGTAAAAATTTGCTCCAATAACTGAATAATTACTTATTTAAGGAAATTTTTACTAATCTATCTTTAGAGAGCAATTAGCTTATCGCTGTGCGATTGTTTTCAATTTTTGTTCTTTAATTATTTTAGACACTCATGTTGCTGTAATAGTATATTACACACCTAGGGAAGTAAAGTAAGAAATGTCTCAAATCACATGTAATTGTTGGCCGAAGCGAAGCCGAGGTCAACAAACATGTGATCTGAGGCTTTCTTATTTACTTCCCGAGGAGTCTAATATACTATTTCTGTTTCGTTTTATTTTTATTTTTAAGATTTCAAATTTTGTTTAGTATGTTTTGTTGCCTACCCCGACATTCATAGCATGAGCGAAGCGAGTGTGATTGTAATGCAACCTCTAAAAATGAATATTATTCAACCATCTTAGAGCTCTTCTACTTGGAATCCATCGAATTTTATCCTCCATAAGTGATATTTTGATTCTAAAAACTCTTCTTGGATTACTTGAATAGTAATAGAATTTAAGACAACAGTGCAGTATTAATACAAGTGCAGTATTAATACAACTTTTATGAAATGAGCCATTCTATGCGTGTGTTTATTAATCAGGTTATTCAACAATTAACGGACTGCATGTTACAGAATTCATCTTTATACAATCAATATTACTACAACTAATAGTTTTATGATTAATAAATTTAGTTTTCGAACATGTTCGATATCCACATCAAAATTTTTAAGACACTGATGAGCGCCTTATGAAATTGTAAGCTCTAAACCGCTTGTTTTCCGTAAAACTATGGCAATTTAAGGCGAATATTGAGACTGTCATGTAAAATGCTCTTGTATAACATAGAAGTGTGAAGCGATACCAGCCAGCTACTTGTAGTTCAGTAGCTAGGCCTGTCAAATCGAATTCGCTTTGATCAAGTAGCGGTAAACATTTACCCGGATCACGGTTGAAAGGGTCACCCTCTCCAAACCTGTGGTCATAGACTATATTCTCTCTCCTGCTCTCACTCTCTTTCTCTTTCACTATCTTTCTCTTTCTCTTTCTCTTTCTCTTTCTCTCTCTTGTTTTAACTCCAATTTTCAAAAACCGAGTTTTGATCCGATTTTTACATTTTGAGGTGCTAGGGAACTATTCTTTCATGTCACATTGGTTCTGTACAAGATTCTTGAGCCAGACAGTTAACCAAGATTATTTGTCCAGACTGGCGACAGACTTGGACAAAATTTTAAAACAGAATCTGGAGTAGTATTTGGTCAAGTTTAGTGACAAGTCTGTTGCCAGAATTTGTCCAGATTGTTGGCAAAAAAGTTTCACCCAGACTTGCGCGAGAAACGAAAAAGACAAACAGTGCGCATTCTTATTGCAGTAAAATAAAAATGAGAAGTTTTGCCGTCATGATTAAGACTCAAAAAGTCGTGGTGGGGAGCTCCACCATTTCTGGCCATTTTTCGGACGAATTTTGGTCTAGTCTTGCTTAAGAATTATGGTCAAATATCTGCAGCGATCCTTCGACGATTCTTGAAGAATGATCTGCTGTAAATTTCTTGTCCAAGAATAGTAAAAATCTATAGGTATACAGATACTTCATCACGATTCTTGATCCAAACTGCTATTAAGATTGACTATCTAAGAGGATATGTTTGAGTAAGTCTCTCATAACTTGTGAATGACTCGACTGATTGAAACGCAGTTCACAATAGATCATAAGTTCTATGGTCCTTAGATTATGCGAGAATTTCATAAAATTCGGCTCAGTAAATTTTGAAAAATCTAAAAAATGAAATTTAAAAAAAGGCTCTTTTATGTTGTTCTCAAACTGCTGCACTGAACATTTTTTGAATATCTCATCGGCTCTTAATTTAAAATATCTACGTTGATTGTCGCAAACCGCATTAAAATCAGTTGATTGGTTCGGGACAAAATTCAAAATTATCGAAAGCTCAATGAGCATTATGATGTGTACACTGTTAGATATTCAATTTGCATATTTTAAGCGCGAAGCACTGATTATGAAAACTGGCCCGTTTTATTTCAATTGACATTTAATTTAATATGAATGAAATATCAAAACCAACATCCAAATTTTGAAACGTTTTGTAATTTCTCTTCTCTCTGTTTCAGGTATCCAAGTATCACCTTCTGAAAAGTTGACGGATTCTGAAAAGCTATCAAAATGCTGGAAAAAAATCAACTACTTAAAATTAATACAAATACAGGTCTACCAACCTGAAAAACGTAGACTTTTAAATGAAAAAAAATCTCTAGTTATGAGGAACGAAACTGGAATATTTTTCTGGAATGAGTCAATAATGACTCGTGATTTCAATTATACGGATTACAATTCAACATATAATGTGAATCGAACATCTGATGACTTATGGGATTTAGCAAGTGATCGTGCCATATTGGCCGTGATACTGATATTATTTTCAATGGCGACGATTTTCGGGAATGGTTTAGTGATACTAGCAGTATTCCGTGAACGTTATTTACATACAGCGACGAATTATTTTGTGACATCCTTAGCGTTTGCCGACTGTCTAGTTGGATTAGTTGTGATGCCATTCAGTGCAATATATGAAGTATTAGAGAATCGCTGGTTGTTCACCACAGATTGGTGTGACGTGTGGCGTTCATTGGATGTATTATTTTCAACAGCGTCAATTTTGAATCTGTGTGTTATTAGCTTAGATCGTTATTGGGCAATAACTGATCCGTTTACCTACCCAATGCGTATGAGCCGTAGACGTGCCGCAATATTGATAGCAATTGTATGGGTTTGTTCGAGTGCAATATCGTTCCCGGCCATAGCGTGGTGGCGTGCAGTCCGTACTGAAATAGTGCCAAAAGACAAATGCCCGTTTACAGAAAATTTAGGGTATTTGATATTTTCATCGACAATCAGTTTTTATTTACCATTGTTTGTAATGGTGTTTACTTATTACCGTATTTATCGAGCTGCTGTGATCCAAACACGTAGTTTGAAACTTGGTACAAAACAAGTAATGATGGCGTCAGGTGAATTAGAACTTACTTTACGAATACATAGGGGAGGTGCTACGAATACTGATGCAAGGCATTTATTTCGTACGGCATCAAGTACACCGGAAGAGATTCAGGACATGGAAGAACCACTTACTTTACATAATAATGGACTTTCACGTATGCCGTCAACAAGAATGAACAATAAACAAAATCTGGGGAAAAATTTTTCTTTATCACGTAAATTAGCTAAATTCGCAAAGGAAAAAAAAGCTGCTAAAACGCTTGGAATAGTTATGGGCGTCTTTATCGTCTGTTGGTTGCCATTTTTTGTGGTTAATCTACTGTCTGGATTCTGTGCAAGGTGTATTTGGAACGAGGAAATTGTTTCCGCTGCAGTCACATGGTTGGGGTGGATTAACAGCGGGATGAATCCTGTTATTTACGCTTGTTGGAGTCGTGATTTCAGACGGTGAGTTGAATTTAATTGTTTATTGACACTTTTACAATTTATGACGTATGATTTATCATTGTTTATCATATTTATTTTGATATTCCCAGAAAATAATTTTTTTGATGTACTGAAGTCGACTTTGATCGCAGAATTAGATTTAAAAATACATAGAATTAAATTAGAAAAAATAAATGTAAAACATATTTGTAGGAGTATGGTGAATAAATAGCAGTAGACTGAATTAAACGGACTGTAAAATGTAATAACTAAATGCAAAGTAAAAAGAGAGCGCCTGGTTGCCCTGGTCACTGGGTTACTCCGGTTACTAATATTTCAAAAAATCAATCGCAGATTAAATTCCCAAGTTTATTTTTAGTGATACTTTTATTTGGTTAGGAGGAATTATTTAACTTTAAATTTGTGAAGAAATTGTGTGTGTAAGCTTTTTATAACTTTCAAACGAGTTGCCTAATTGAAATGCGATATAAAGTTAAATTTAATTTTTCAACTAATAATAATAATAATAATAATAAAAAAAAAAGTTTGGAAAATCCAAAAGTGCACGTCTCATAACGCTCATTCATTTTTTAAGAAAAAGTAAATTGTGTAATTGATTAAAAAAAAAAAAAATTATAATTAAGTAATTTCGTACAGAGTATTTTTTTTTTTAAACATCAGCGCCCTTTTTTCTTGTCATATGCGCACGCAGTTTAAAAAAATCTAGCTTGATCAAGTGGCGCCATAGTTTTCACGTGACAAATAAGAAAAATTCGTTTGTTTTATTTGCACGGTTGTATCGTAGTGAATTTTAATAAAAATTCAATTAAAAAAAAAATACGTAAACTAGGCTACTGATATGAAATACGGACCCAGTTCATCGCATTCTTGAACTAATAAAAAAGGTCCGGTCTTGAAATATCAATTTGTTCGGGAATAATCGTTGGTACGTCCAAAATGGGGTGACATCCGGACGTCCACGTAAAATTTTTTTTAAAACGTTTTTTTTTATCAAAATACCTACATGAAATGATTTTAGAAAATAAAAGATGGTTTAATTTAAGAGTTTTCTCGGTGTACATCTACTTAGATTATTGTATAAATGTAATATGGTTGTGATAGAGACATTTAAAGATCACAAAATTGCTTGACTTTGACGAGTCGAGTATAAAACACAACCTCACGCGCTTCGCGCTATGAGGCGTGCAAAAAAAAAAAAAGAATTTCTTTACTCATAAAATAAATAAACATAAAAAAAAAAATTAGAACTTCGTCATAAAGTAAACTGTTGTCTTGCTTCAAATCTTCTTGGATTACATCTTGTTATCTTGGCCCAAGAGTATACTATCTTCAGTCAATACAATCAACTTCTTTATTCAAGATAATTTCTTGGAAACGAATAATTTTGCTTTTTTTTAAGAACTTTATATTTGAGATTCAAGAACTAGTTTTTTACTTCAAAATACAATAAAAAAAAAATCTTCTAAAAACGAAATTCTTATTTGTCACTTTTGAAAAAATTAATAATTATCAAAAGTGACAAGTAAGTTATCGATTTCGGTCCGATTTTTAAGAATGTGAGTTTTCATCAGATCTTCACGTTTTGAGGTTCTAAAAAGCTGTCCTGATTATTCCCGGCTGTACACCCGTATGAGTGTAATAAAATTCATACCATATCTTGGAGATCGAGATAAGCGACACGACGTTCCAAAGCGTTCTTCGAGACTTCGATCTGATTAGATTTTAAAGTCAATCGGTCGAGCCGTTTCAAAGGTATTCAAAAAATAAAAACCAAAAAAAATGTTTATCAAGTTTTATCTAAATAACTTTTGAAATATTTGACTAATCAACTCCAAACGTTAGAGACACTTTTTTGAACCTAAAGAACTGAGAAGAATGCATTCGAGCAAGTCAAAATCAAACGGTGCGTTCAAAAATTATAGCCATTTAAAGATACGTATTTAAAAATTAAAAAATTCAAATTCAATACATGAATCGTTTCTTTGAGAATCCTTATAAGTCAAAAATACTAAATTTTTCAGGAGGAGCAAAAAACATTTTTCTAGGTTAAGTTTGAATTAACATCATGAACCAACGATGAATAATAATAATGTTAGCATCCCTAAAAAAGATTCAAGCATGAAAAAATTTAATTGTTAATTACTACAATTAATAATAATGATTTAAAGTTGATTGACTTATGGGGTTTCTCATCAAAACGAACAAAATAGTAATAAAATCATTAATTTATCAATCTTTCTCCGTTAATGATTTATTATATTCATGAAATAATGTACAAAATATGTATTAGAACTATAATTAACGAAAATAATAATAAGTAATCAGTTGTTTTTAACTTCAAATTAGTGAACTGAGAGTCAACAATAAAACAACATTTTAATTTATCACAACCTAACTTTATAAAACTAAAATTGCAAAAATTATAAAAATCGAAGTAATTAACAGTAAATATAATATTATATTATAAATATAATGATCAGACCCCCGAGAAAAAATGATCAGACCTGATCGGACATAAACAGGCATGAGTCTTCAGGCCTGATCAGACATGAAAAATGACCATGCCTGATCAGGCATGAATTGACCTGACCAGGCCTGATCAGACATGGTCAGGTCTGAAAGCCCATTGTTACTTTTAATTAATTATTTTGCTTAATTTTATGGATATAGTATTTGATAGAGTCATACGCAATTCTCTATAATGAATTAAAATAAAAACAAAATGATTACACATAATTGTACGGCTGTAACACCAGCAGTCACCCATCTATTTACTAACCGCACGCTCAATGCTGTTTAACTTTGGTGATATCCGTGCGCCTTGAAGTTCCCGCCTGCTGTGCTGCTATCTTATGTGACAACAATTCTATGAACTACATAACGTATCGAATAAGTTTATCATAAATATAATATAAAAATTGATTTTATAATATATTTTGATAGTCCTAATTTATTTATTTAACCGAATCTCATTATAACATCACATTTATTTAAATAATAAAATAAGTAATGATTTTAATATTAGGCAGAAGCAGAGCAGACTGAAACATCAAATAGGAAATGCAACAAATTTTTTATTTCAAAATTATTTAAACGTAATGATAAAAATAATTTTGCACTTTTTGTGATGACCAAAAAAATTTTTTTCGTCAAAGAAAAATTTTTATCACATCTCTGACTATGCAAGTCTGATCAGATCTTTTCGGAAAAAATGATCAGACCTGACCATGCCTGTTCATGTATGATCAGGCCTGAAATTAGACCTGCTCATGTCTGTCCATGCCTGTTCATGCCTGTCCATGTCTGAAGCGTTAAATACGCACAGGCCTGATCATGCCTGTCCATGTCTGTTCATATCTCATGCGTTAAAAACGCTCAGGCCCGATCATACCTGTCCATGCCTATTCTTGTTAAGGACCAAATATGCTAAGAAAAAATTTTTGAATATGTTCAGTGTATGTACATTAATTCCGATTAATAAATTTGTAAATTATCAATAAACGGTATATTTTATTATTCAATAAATAAAAGTATTTTGATTATCATTAAAAACCTACCGTACGGTAAATTTAATTAACTTTTCTAGGCATGAACAGGCCTGAGCATATTTAATGCTTCAAACATGAACAGGCCTGATCAGACATGAACAGGCATGGACAGGTATGGACAGGCCTGATCAGACCTGAGCGTATTTAACCCTTCAGACATGAACAGGCCTGATCAGCCATGATCAGACCTGAGCGTATTTAAGCCGTCAGACATGAACAGGCATGATCATGTCTAATTTCAGGCCTGATCATACATGAACAGGCATGTTCAGGTCTGATAATTTTTTCCCGGGATGTCTTTTTATTTGGTGATCATTAATTTCAGAATTTAAATCAGTGAAATCAGAGTCAACAAGAAAACAACATATTTTTAATTTTAATCCATTAAACGAATATTGCCAAACTCATTAAAATTTAAGTATTTAACAGTAGAGGTAGTTTCTAATTATCTGATAATCAATTATTTTAAAATTAAAGTCAGTAAAATCACATTAATAAACAATAAAAAAATTATTTTATTCTATTTTATCAAACTAATACTACAGAAATTATTAAAATTCAAGTATTTTGCATTGAATTGAATTTTTTTTAGTCAGAAGAAATTATTTTGGAAAAAAACGAAAAGAAACTTTTTTTTGAAATATTTAAATTGAATGTTTATTCGAAAAACTCCATAAGTCACTGACTTATGGGGTTTCCTAACTAAAAGAGATTTGTATCGACCGATTGGTTAGGTCTTGAACACGGATTTAATATTTTTTGGTGCTGGTATACGTGAGGGGCAATTCAAAGAACCGAAAAATGCAATAAACTTGATTTCGAAAAAAATATGACTTACGGGGTTTCTCAAATAATCGATTCATATATTTGAGCTTTGTGCTCGAAAATAAGTGGGAAGTTTAAGAGATGGCCTTCAAAGTCAACCGATTGCAGAATTTTTGAGATATAAAAAGTAGCATGAGTCAGAAAATTTCAATTTTACTTTGTTAAATTTCCCAAATTCTTGAATGGAGAACTTTCAGCGACTACAAAGAGAACACAAACAAAGTTTCCATTTGATTGTTGGAGATAATCGAGGTCACTGCATATTTGGCCGCTTAATCAGAGGGAATCAATTGAATCATTTTATTTGCGACAAACGAGCTGAATACTGTAGTTGGTGACGATAACTTCAGTTACGTACACGAAATCGATAATCAACACGTGAGCTGACAAAATAAACGCTGCACCTTGGAAGTCGTAGAGACTAGGAAAGCTCGAAAAAGTATTGCCAGCTGCAAAATAGAGAATTTAACGACGAAGGAATATTCTATAGTGCTAAAATTATGGATGCATTGATGAGTGGTTCAGTCTATTTTATTACTGTCATGATTTAATTGTTTTTAATTAAAAAATTTATCGCTATTTCTATTGTATATTTCATGCTCTGTATAATTTTAAATTTAAAGCGTTTAAT